TGCCATCCTTGGATAGGATTTTTGGAGGCGCAGCTTCATGACCATCGATCCAACCAAGAAGAAGGTTGGCCTCGAGAGCAGTTTTGACATTGAGAGACCATGCAGGATAATTTGAATCGGTGAGCTTCTCTGGGATAAGATTATGGAGATTGCGGAGAAGAAGCTTGACACCAGAAGGAAGCGAAGCAAGCGGATCTGAAGATTGAGCCATGGTTGCCGTTTATGGTTGACCGGCGAGAGGAAGGAGACCGGCGGTGAAGGTACAGTCTCGAAAAAAAGGGCTAGGGTTTAAACCTAGGCTCCGATACCATGATACAATTTGATAATAATTTGTCTTATTGAATATTGAGAGATATGTTCCTATATATAGGGATTACAAGAGAGAGTCATATTCCTAGTAGGAAAGGAATAAAGTAATTATGGTAATACAAGAATAAGGAAACTAAATAATATTAGGAGTCTTCCTATTAGTGAGAATAATGCATTGTATTACAATATAATTTTAATATGAATATATATTCAATTTGAAATATAGTTTTCAAATATAAAATTTTCATTAAATATATCTATGTATAAATAAAGATATTAGTGGTCAAAGTGCAATCTTGGAGACCATAAAAAAATCAAATGGGAAGAACATTTCCGGACGGAGAGAGTATTTTTTGCCGCTGTCATGTTATGTTCTTTATTAGGAGCATTTAATGCAAGTGATTGAAGTATATAGTTTGTGGCTCAATATAAAAAATAATGATTAAAATTTGTGGTTCATAAAATATGTTTAAAATATCGTGACAACTCATACGCGTGACTCTAGGAGAATTGATTGACCCCCTTTTTTCTTGTGATTCACTTAAGGCTCTAGACTCGAGGGACTTCTCGATTTGCCCATTGAGTGAATAATTTAATGTAGTGAGTAATTGAATATGTCATGCAATTAATAGTTTGTGGCTCCATATAATAAATAATGATAAAACTTTGTGGTTCAAGTAATATTTTAAAATATCTTGGACAACTCATGTGTGCGGCTCTATGATAATTAAATGATAACCCTTTTTTTCTTGAGATTCACTTAAGGCTCAGACTCTAAGGACTTCATGATTTATCCATTGAGTGGATGTTTTAATGTAGTCTCTAGTTGGGCGTGTCCATTTAATGGTTCACGGTTCAATGTAATGATGTATCTAAATCTATCACAACATTTATTGGCTTGTCCTTTAAATCACGACATGTATAAACTTGATTTCATTTGTTTTTCAAGAAAATTTTAAATTAATTATAGCCTCAAAAGTAATAAAAATAATCGTTATAATTAATTTTTTAAATACATTTAAAGAGTCTTGTGGAAGATTTCACAAGTACTTTACCATTTTATAATTTTAAAAAAATTATATTGTTAATTTAATTTTCTTAATGAAATAGCAATGTAGATTTTTTTTTTCAAAGATCTAAATATTTATGACCTTTGAGAATAAGGTACTAATCTTAGGATAAATTTTTTATAAAATCATATAAAAAATGTTCCATGTACGACATGAATGTGGCATGAAACTGAGTTTGTACATAGACTAAAAATTTGGTAAGTATAGAAAAAACATCAGATTTATGACGTACACAAAACACCCATAGATAATGAGAATAATCATCCAATAACAACATATGAAGTTTAAACCCTATAACACTAGGGACTGGATAATGTCACAAGTTTGTATGTAATAATTGAAAAGGAAAAGTAGAGACACGAGTAAAAGAGAATGAGAGACGAACATGTATTTTCCCAATTGACAAGCATGACAGAGACAAAATAATTGACTCTTATTAAAATGTGTGGGGGACTCCACGAATAATGGCATGGTTGGGATGTCCAAGGCGGCGATGCCACATTTAAAGATCAACTCTAGAAATGTGTGCTGGGGGGTGGTGTTGGATGCAGGGAATAGAGTAGGTCATCACTACTAGAGCGATGAATCATGTGTCCCGTTTGAGGGCCCTTCACAAAATAAAACCTGTTTGGTCAATTTCAATAAAATAGTTATTGTCACAGATAAATTGCCGGACATATTTAAGGTTCTGAATGATGTGTAGGGAGACAAGGACATGCTTAGAGGTGGTGTTTTGTGTTTATGGTTCAGGGACTTGAGGCGGTAGTGTGTACTTTAGATCCGTTATCAACAATAATATATGTGGGTGAAAACAAACTTTGATAAAAAGCATGAGAAAGAGTACACGAAGAGGCAACATGGGGAGAAGCTCTGATGCCCATAAGCTAAGGGAGTTCACGGAGTATCATGGTGTCAAAATAGTGAGCTAGAGTAGTTGGTGTTTGGTAGGGGGGGGGGAATGAGTACCGGTTTGGGGTGGGCTTGGGTTTGCACGTTGGGAAAAAACATATGTTTGTTTTACACTATGTTTGATTTAAAAAATTATGAAAAAAGGAAATGAAAATAATTTCCCCCTTCCATTTTCTTTGTCAAACTCGGGAATTTTCTTTCTTCTTTTTACTTTTCTTCTCTAATAAAAAAATATACTTTGTAACTCATTTTCTTTAATTTTACTTTCAAATTTCTTGAATCAATTCACCAATCACATAATTATCTACGAGCAATGCTAGAGTCACAAATAATTTGGACACAAATTTCACAAACTTATCATTTGTGTATGTAAATTTTTATTTTAAACTATTTAAAATAATTTTATTCACTTAAAAAAATATAAAAATAATAAGTTTGTGTAAATTGTGTTTGAGTTGTTTGGGCATCATTCATTTTTTTCCGAACTATTATCAATTTCTATCTTGTCTTTGTAGATTAACGAGAAGCATTTTTTACAAAACATTTTAAATTCGATGCAATTGGATGTTCTTTAATTTTGTTTAGAAATGCTGTCACATTTCAAACGAGTAAGGTAGAGAGAGATTTCTATGATCTATCCTCCCGACCTCACAATTTTGATCCCATTTCAATGTTAGGGTTTCGGAACAGCCAAAATGGCGACGACGAAGGCCACTTGTGTTTCCAGGCAGCTGTGCATTTTCAAACGGGTATGTAACACTCCCTTCCATTTCTCTGGGTTTCATACTGAAGCATACTTGCAACGCAGCAGATCAGAGTTTAGGAGTGTCAAGAAGCTTGACGATGCGCTTGTTCTGTACAGCCAAATGGCCCGGATGGAACCCCGGCCTACGACTGTCCAATTCAACCAACTCTTGAATGCCATTGTGAACATGGGCTGCTACAATGATGCCGTCTCTCTGTTTAAGGATATCTTTGCGTGTCGGGTTTCGATAGACGAGTTCACGCTGACTATTGCCGCGAAGTCTCTTACCCGTTTGCATAGAGTAGACTTGGGTTTCGCCATTTTGGGTAGCCACTTGAAGCTCGGTCTAGTGCCCAGTGTGGTTTTGTTCACCACCTTACTCAAAGGGTTGTTCCTTCAAGGTAGGGTTCAAGGTGCCATTTGGTTGTTTCAGAAGTTGTTTGACGGGAAACTGTGCGAGCTCAGTGAAGTCATGCTGCTGGTACTAGTCGATGGCCTCTGCAAGGCGGGACACACTAGTGAGGCTATTAAGTTGCTTCATTTGTTTGACGAGGAAGGAGACTGCAAGCCAGATGTGTATGCATATAGCACCGTCATTGATTCTTTGTGCAAGGATAGAATGGTGGACGGTGCCTTTGTCCTGTTAGCCAAGATGATGAAAAAGGGCATTCCTCCTAATGTGGTGACTTTTAATTCACTAATTGACGGACTCTGCAAACTTGGTCGATGGGAGGAGGTCAAAGAGTTACTGGAAAGGAGGATGGACTATGAGATTCCTCTCACTGTTCGTACATACGCAATTTTAGTTGACGGGCTTTGCAAGGAAGGGTGGGTCAGTGATGCTGCAAACATTATAGATAAAATGGTTCAAGAAGGTCTAGATCCTAACACGGTTACATATAGTGCTTTGGTGGATGGATACTGCAAACAGGGAAACATGAAAGCTGCATTGGAGCTCTTAAAGAGCATGATTCATAGGGGATGCAAGCCTAATATTTACGCTTATAATAGTTTAATCAATGGATACTTCCAGAGTGGGTGTTCAGATAAGGCCATGCAATTATATGACGAAATCCATAGCATTGGCTTAAAGCCAACCGTTGTTACCTACAACACTGTGTTGGACGGGTTATTTCATGTAGGGAGATCTGATGAGGCTGAGAAGCTTTTTAATATAATGGTAGAAAATGAAGAACATCAAGATATATTCACCTGCAATATTGTTTTGGATGGCCTGTGCAAGAACCATCGCGTTCCTCAAGCTCTTTGTTTACTTAGGACGATGGAAACAAAGAGTCCTACTCCCAATATAGTTTGCTACACTACTGTCATAGATGGATTATTCAAAGATGGAAAGTCATGCAGTGCATTAGAACTGTTCAACACCCTTCCCTCTAAAGGTCTGCAACCAAATAAGTTCACCTACATGAGTGTGATAAGTGGACTTTGCCAAGACGGATTGTTAGAAGATGCGAAAAACATGGTTAAGAAGATGGAGGAAAATGGTTTGATATCAGATAGTATGGCATACAATGTACTGATCCGTGGGTTACGGGAAAAAAACAAACACAGTGATGCTATATTACTTTTGGAGGAGATGTTAAGCCACGGATTCTCACCTGACAATAGAACTTGTCAGATTTTACTTAAACTAATCTTACAAAAAGGACCCGATTCCACTTTGCTGCATATGCTTCTGAATGACAAAGGTTCCACACCTGTAAACCAGGAGATTGTTTTAAACTGTCACAGAACCATCACCCAAGCATGTTTTCCCTCTCTTCTAGAGCAATTCTCCTTTAACAGGAACTAGCTAATCTTCTTCATGTTCTTCACTTTATGTATATATTTGACAAAGTATATTAAAGTGGGCATATCTGATTGGAATGTAATTGTAGCTATCTGACTGTTAGTTATACTTACATGTGACTAATTAATGTCATGCCAAGAGCCTGTTCTTTAGGACTGGAAAAAAAAGAGTTGGATTGTCACCCGAAAATAGAACTTGCGAGTTTGTACTTAAGTCAATCTTGTAAAAGGATCTGTTTCTACAAAAATGAATCCAAATCAATGGAAGTTCACCGTTAACCAAAACACTGTAAGAATAAGTTTATTTGTACATTTGCAAATGGGTGTATTTGTAGAACACAATTTCATCTGACTGGAATAATTGATCCTACAGCATGAAAAGAGAATGTTATTTTTCATTTATTCTTTATTATAATTGTACTCAGGTCCCCTTTTTATGCTCATAAATGGCAATCGTTTTATATGGTCAAAATAAATGGCTGCAATGACGGGTTTGGCATGGTAGAGTATGATGTTCAGAAGAACATCAAACTCCATTGATGGTGAGTTTGATGCTCTTCTGAACACATAATTACCAAAGTCATTTTTCTTTACATTGCTTATTTGTTTCTTTAAACCTAGCTATATTGTGCTTTCAAGCTACTCAGAAGATTGCGTCACATTCTTGTGTTTGCCGTTTGTATTTTCCATAACTTCTGTTGAAAGTGTTTTCCCAACCCTTCATTGGAAATTGACTGGATGTTTCTTTTGTAGACCTCATTTTCAGAACAGAGAAGATATCAAGGCTGCCATCAAGTAAGTTTACCATATTAAAGAAACACTTCTTTAATATGGTTTTATTTTTTTATCCCATTTTTCTTTTCACTTTCTTTTTAGATTTAATTTTTGTGTTTATCAATTGATCATCACTTTGCCATTTTCTACTATTAGTTCTTCTGTCTATTCTATCCCACCAAATTGCAAGGGTATTCTTTGGTTACATCATTGAAAGTTGAAACTATTCTTATGTTTGAGATTGATCGTTTTGTGTATGATAATTGATAATTATACGATTTCACAATGCCATAACAGTAAAGTTTTTTTTAGGATGAAGAAAATATGTCACGTTGAATTCACATATTTGATTTCGATCACTTTGACTACATATATCAACATTTATTCATGGATATTACTATTTGTACACCGCATTTGTATACATCAAAGCTTTGCACCGACACAAAATGCATGTACTCCGTATAACATTGACACAAAATGTAAGTGAAAAACTGAGAATATGTCTCAAGTGCAATACTTGAATTTTGTGCCAGTGCAAAATTTTGGTTTGTAAAATGGTGTACAAATGTGGTGGACGACTTTTATTTATTTATTTATTTTGTATTTTCATAGTTTATAATAAAAAAATCTTTGGGTACACTACTTTCTACTGCAATTTGCAGACAATTCCATCATCTACCATGTACTTTTTGTTGGATGATGAAAGTTGGAGAATTTCTACTCCAATTTGCACACGATTCCATCATCCACCATACATTTTTTGTTGGATGAATGAAAGTTGGAAAATAGATAACAATTTATCATGAATGATGAAGTTATGTGAGTACAAATTGGGATACAAAGTGATCTACCCCAAACATAAAATAAATTGCTACTCCCTCCGTCCCGACTCTTGATGGGTATAGCGCACTGGTACTACCCGACAAGTTCGCAAGCGCCCGGGAGGTACCAAAGTCTGAGCCAACTTGACCTCATCATCTCCCGTAATCGGATCGGGTAGATGTCAGGAGAGTCAGACCGGTAAGATCGTGACTTGATCCGCAGAAGGCTTGAAGACTGGCCGACTTGAAGATTGACCGGGTGGATACCTTGAGATAAACAATAGTGATAAACAGTGTTTTCTATTATTACAAATAGGAGTGAAAGCCTCATAAAGAAGGCAAGCAATAAAGAATCTACACAGCTTGTAAGTTATAATCGGTCCCCATATTATAAATAACAAATTGGGTTACAGGTGTTCCCACTTACAACCCTTCCACTTTTAGTAACTTAAACATTCATGTCGGTTTTACACCATCACGTTCCTAAAAAATTGCCACAGTTTAACTTTTTTGGTCAAATTGTGTCATCTTTTGATCATGAATTAAATATAGTTTAAAATAAATCCAAATTTGTTAAATTTACATTTTAAATAAATCTATTTTTTTCATAATTCACTATCTAAGAGGACCCAAGTTTGAGAGACAAGAGTATAAAATCTAGTTGCTTTAAGAAAATACGGAGTATAAAATGTGCGACAAACTCCTCGTTTCAAAATCGTTTCTTGCAAAATGGACGAACAGTGGAAGTTTACCAGAGACTGGCTTCACAAATTTGATCTCATCTCAATGTTAGGGTTTCGGAACAGCTAAATTGACGATGAAGACTGCTACTATTTCCAGGCCGCAGTCCATTTTCAAACGGGCCTGGAGAGGATTTTCGCCCAACGGTAACCCTCCCTTCCATTTCTCTGCTTTTCACAATGGTGTTTCTGTTAGCCAAAACATTCATGAATCCTACTTGCATCATGACAAATCAAACTTTACTAGAATCGAGAACTTTGGTGACGCAATTCTATTGTACCGTCACATGGTCCGGATTCATCCCCGTCCTCCCACCGTCCAATTCAACCATCTCTTGAATGCCATTGTGAAGATGGGCCGCCACAGTGATGCCGTAGCTCTGTTTAGGGACATCTTTGCATCCGGAACTCCGATAAATCAGTTCACGCTAAACATTGCTGCGAATTCCCTTGCCCGTTTGCACAGAGTAGATTTGGGTTTTTCGTTTTTAGGCATCCACTTGAAGCTCGGTCTCGTACCCAATGTCGTTTTCTTCACCACCTTACTAAAAGGGTTGTTCCTTCAAGGTAGGGTTCGAGATGCTATTTGGTTGTTTCACAAGTTATCAAATGAGAAACTGTGCGAGCTAGATGAAATGACGTTGCTGGTACTGATTGATGGCCTCTGCAAGGCAGGACACACAGGAAAGGCTATGAAGTTGTTTCGTTTGTTTGACGAGGAAGGGAATTGCAAGCTAAATGTATATGCGTATAGCGCCATCATTGATTCTTTGTGCAAGGATAAAATGGTGGATGATGCCCTTGTCTTGTTTGACAAGATGATGAAAAAGGGCATTCCTCCGAATACGGTGACTTATAATTCCCTAATGGACGGACTCTGCAAATTTGGTCGATGGGAGGAGGTCAAAGGGTTACTGGAAAGAAGGATGGACTGTAAGGTTCCTCTCACGGTTCGTACATACGCCATTTTAGTTGATGGGCTTTGCAAGGAAGGACGGGTCGGTGATGCTGCAAACATCGTAGATATAATGGTTCAAGAAGGTCTAGATCCCGACACGGTCACGTTTAGTGCTTTAGTGGATGGATATTGCAAACAAGGAAACATGAAAGCTGCATTGGAGCTCTTCAACGATATGATACGTAGGGGATGTGGCCCCGATATTTGCACTTACAATATTCTAATAAATGGGTATTTCAAGAACGGGTGTTCAGAAAAGGCCATGCAGTTATTTGACGAAATCCATAGCATTGGTTTAAAGCCAACCGTTGTTACGTACAACACTATGTTGGACGGCTTATTTCGTGTAGGGAGATGTGTTGATGCCGAGAAGCTTTTTAATAAAATGGTCAAAAACCGAGAGCATCCGGATCTCTTCACCTACAATATTATTTTGGATGGTTTCTGCAAGAACCATCATGTTCCTCAAGCGCTTTCTTTACTGAGGGCAATGGAAACTAAAGGTCCCACACCCGATATAGTTTGCTATACTACAATCATCAATGGACTATTCAATTACGGAAAATCACGCCGTGCAATAGAACTGTTCAACACCCTTCCCGCTAAAGGTCTGCAGCCAAATAAGTTCACCTACATAAGTGTGATAAGCCGAATTTGCCAAGAGGGCTTGTTAGAAGATGCGAAAAATATGCTTAAGGAGATGGAGAAAAATGGTTTGATGCCAGATAGTATGGCATACAATGTACTGATTCGTGGGTTACTGGAAAAAAACGAGCACTGTGATGCTATATTACTTTCGGAGGAGATGTTGAGCCACGGATTCTCACCTGACAATAGAACTTGTGAGATTTTACTTGAACTAATCTTACAAAGAGGACCAGATTCCACTTTGCTGCATACGCTTCTGAACTCCCGTAAACCTGGAGATAGCTTTGAACTGCCACCGAATCATTACTCAACCATGTTTTCCCTCTCTTCTTGAGGAATTCTTCTCTAATAGGAGCTAGTTAATCTTCTTCATGTTCATTCATTTATATTTGAAGAAGTATATTAAAGTGGGCATATCTGACTTGAATGCAATTGTAGCTATCTGACTGTTAATATTTGACATTAAAGGCACACAATTTTCCTAACACATGAAAAACATTATACTTAATTTGAGGTGTATTGTTTTCACATTTGAAGTAGTTGTCCATACTGATTTTGCAGACTCTGGTTTTGTCCTGTTACACAAGTGGCATTGTGATGCTCTATTTCATGTGTTGGAAATGTGATGAATTGGTTGTCCCTTAAAAAGGCAAAATCTTATATGGTTCTTGAGTCCAGACACATTTTATGAATTTTAGTGCATAAACACCATAAAAAGATTGGGCCTTTTGTAAAAAAAAAAGATCCAGTTGAAAGTTTATAAAAAGTGTGAGAATGTTGATATGTCACATGGAGAACTTATGACTATAGAAGCACAACTCCACTTGAAAATAGAGCTTATGAGATTGTATTTAAGTCCATCTTGGAAAAAAATCTCTTTTTAAAGAAATTACTCGAAATATGAGTAAACCATATAGAAAGTACCATAATAGGAGTTTCATGTCTTAATTCCCAAATAGGAGTTCTCACGTGGCAATATGACACTGTATATGGACATTTCACAATACTTTTTGGTAATGTACATGGTCATGATTAACACTGTAAATGCATTTTAACTCCTATTTCGAAAATAAAAACATGAAACTTCATTTGGGTTCAAAAGTGGCTTACTTTTAATGCTTTTAAGTTTAACACATCAAAAACTTCATAAGAGCAACTCCAATGGTAAGAGGTGTCTTGGAGAGGTATATATCTCTTTTACCTCTCCAAATGATCAAGTTTATCTTTCTAAAAAGTGTGCAACTCCAATGGGGGGAGGTAAATCAAAAGGCAAAAGAGGAAAAAAATCCATCTCCATACATTATTGGGAAAAAATTAGTTGATTTACCTTCTTAAATCAAATTTTAATTATTAGAAAAGAAAATATACATTCTTAAAAAAATCATGGGGAGGTAAATTTGAGGTTTGTTGCCTTTGTTTCTTCTTGATTAAATTTTTAAATTTAAAGATTTTATAAAAATACAACTAATTTATTGGGAAAAAAATTAGAATGTCAGTTTTGAAATAATTAAATATACATTATGTCTAATTACACATGTAAAACTATAAATACCCGAATAGAAAAAACTTAAAAATACAGAGTGCAAGATTAAAAAACAAAGTATTTTTTTGTTAATTCTTCACTCGTTAAGTTTTACAATGACAAAAGTACAAATTAATAATTTATAATAATACATTCAAGCAAAAATACAATAACTAAAGTAATTGATGAAATAAATTTAAAAGGTAGGAAAAATTGATATACCTCCCCAAATGAAGAAGGTAAAGATACATCTTCAAAATTGAAGAAGGTATAATACCTTCTTATTTACCTCTCCCTTTGGAGTATGATTTTTAATGAAAAGAGGTATACATCACAAATATTCCTCTTTACCCTTTCATATACCTCTCCCATTATAGACCTCTTATATGCCCGTACATACCCATCTGCATATGTGTGCATTAGTTGAACTAATCGGCAGACATCATTATCTTCCATGTATGCTTTGATCTTTCAAAATACCCATCTTATGCTTTCCTCTTCTTATTTGAATGTATTTGCTCAAACTCTTTCTAAGATTTAAGAAAAAAATAATCTTCTTTTAAACCTTTTGATTGATACACTAGCATGATTTTGTCAAACTACTTTTGTGGATGATTTTGTTCTTCACTGCAATCCTACAAACTTTTATTGCAAGAAATATTGTTGAATGCATTCTTCGGGCTGATTTTACTACTCTGCAAATTAAGTATTTGCAAAGATTATTGAAGAATATTACGTGTGGTTTTCGGCTTTTCGCCAGTATTGTCATCCATACCTTAAAAAAAGATCTAAAAACAAAAAAATGGCATTATTGTTGGAATACTTTTAAAGAAACAAAAGAACCAATTTGATTAATGCAAAAATATTACCTCTTAAATTTGAGACGCTGGGGTGCTCCTGTTGTGAAAGACATTGCAATGGTTTTGTAGTTTATTTATATTGCGGGGAGTGGTTGGTTGGCACTTTAATCAGCAACTTTGAATCAAGTTAATTATTCATAGTAATAATGATAAAAGATTTGCAGGATCTTCACTTTTTGTAGTTAAATAATACATTAAGTGAAAAAAAGAGATTTGGAAGATCTTCATTTTTACTGTAGCAAAAAAGAGATAAGCATGCTGATTTGACATCTACTTTTTTGTGGTGTGCGGCTCAATAAGAGATTTTAACTTTAAAGATTTTTTTAATCTAATAATTTAATTTTGAATTAGACATAAAGTAGATTTAGACCTTAAAAGAAGAGAATGCTTTAAAAAATACTGTGCACACGCAGACCTAGACGTCTGAAGTGATAGATTGCATAGTTAGCCTCAAAACCGAAAAAAGAAGCCCAATAGCACGCAACCCATTTTCAGTGACCCGGCCCAAATAATTTAGGCGGGAACACTGTTCAAAACAGCTTCACACCTTTGTATAGATTAAGATAAGATGTATCAAAATCAATACCAACACACCATTTCAAATTTAATCTTTTCAGTTATTACATGCTCTCAATAACTTATGTTTCAATGTTTGTATGCATATTTTCATTGATCATTTAATAAAATAAAATATTCTTCTTAACTCTTATTTATAGAACTTTTAAGATACTTTTGAACGGTGTAATTTGTTAATTTTATTTCTTTACCAATTTTTTTTAAAATTATTTTAAAACAGACATATTTTGTATGTTTTCTAGAAGAATAAATTTGGATGGGAAAAATATTAAACTGAAATATTTATATGGAACTCCTATTTTGGTACTTCTTTCTATGTTTTAGTCCTATTTAAGGTGATTTCTAAAGTTATTTTTGGTCGATTAGAAAAAGTGATTATTTGGACGATTAAAAGATGTGTTGTGTGTGGTTCAAAAAAAGATGTGTTGTGTCTTACAAATATGGTCCCAAGAAATACAGTTACTTTTTTTGTTTCATAAATATAATTAAGAGTAAATTACATAATTGGTCCTTTATAACAGGGGGTTTTTCTATTTAGTCCTCTATTAACAAATATTACCCAGTTGTCCTTCTTTTATGGGTATCTTTCCACAAATAGTCCTTTTTTGATCTTCTATCATGTTGGTGTTAATTTGAATGGTAAAAGTGTAATTTCACAATGAAATATATCTTTTTTGTCACACACAATTCCAAAGGCTGTTCTGTTTCCGTCGTTTGTGAATTACAATCGCTTTCTACTACAACCATAGTCTACAAATGTGGTCTTTCGTCGGAATACTAGCCTACAATCATAGTCATTATTTTGTGTTATCCGCTTAACCAATATCAGAACACGTCACTAGACATAATGTTGATGTCAAATTATACTTTTAGCCTTTAAATTAATACCAACATGGCAGAAGATAAAAAAAGAACCATTTGTGAAAAGGCACCCTTAAAAAAGGACTACGGGGGGTAATATTTGATAATAGAGGACTAAATATGAAAACCCCCTGTTATAAAGGACCAATTATGTAATTTACTCTATAATTAAACTACTACACATTATTAGAACCAATTTGGAATAAAAAAATAATTCCCTTTGTAATAGGCTCCCAAACTTGTACTCCCTTTGTCCTAAGAACACATTCATTTTTTTCGTTTAAAAAGTATACAAATCTCTTTTTATTTAACTTTTCATGGTATCTAATACTCCGTATGACATTTTTACTATTAGTATTTCTATTTAGATATAAACATATATTATTTAACTAAAATCTATTTTGAGAACAAAGGGGACTTTTAAAATTATTAACGACATTACATAAATTTTTTACTCTACGAATATAAATAATAATTATAATTATAACTATAATTCTTATTACTATTGTTGTTGTTGTTGTTGTTGTTATTATTATTATGACAACAACATCAACAACAATAACAATAATATGAAAAACATATCTAAATAAGTTTTTTAGTAATTCTTGAAAGAAACTAAAAGCTGATGGAAGAAATTGGAATGAGTTAAAAACTGGAAGAAGTTACAAAAACTAGGAGTCTGAAAAAATTTTAAAGAGTTAAAAAAATTAGAAAGTATTGAAAGAAATAAAAAAATAAAAGTTAAAAGTTAAAACCCAAAAGAACGACCTTAATAGATATCCCTAATTCCCTATCAATATCAATCTATCATGTTCACTTCTAAAAAATTACGGAGTAAATTACTCTTAAAAATTAGGAATGAGTTCAATTTTTTACTCAAAATCAAAGACAAAACAGAAAGTAAGTTAGTGTCTCCATTCAATTTGGTTTCGCACAAAAAATATGTAAACAATTCGTTATTCGGTTCGATTTATGCGATTTTTATTTCGAGTTTTTTTGGTTTTTAAAATTAAATAATTTATAAGAATTATAAAGTTGTAACGACACTAACTCGATGAGACAATAACAACATGTAGGGCTGTGTTCTGTTTTTACCTAAATAAAAAAATCAAATGGTAGGTTAATTAAATTTTGTTCAGTTCGGTTTTACGTAAAAATATACTAAATGTTTAGTGTGTCGAACAAACATCTAGGAGATTATAAATACTCAAAGTCCTCGTATGTAAATTACGGAGTATTTGCGTTTTTGTATATTTGTATTATAACATCAAAGTTTTTTCATTTAAATATGTAAATTTCTCATATCATTTTTAATGTTAATATAACTCCGTATTAAGATAGTTATTGGTGTTTACACTCTTAGATTTTTTTTTATAGTTTATAACACGGTTGAAAATGTTCAGTAGTAGAGACATAATAACTTTAATCCACTAATGAGTAATTTGAATTTATATTTCTATGTTTTTTTCGCATATCACATACTTATATACATAAAACAAAATGCGTAAGAAAGTTCGATTTATTTGGTTTGATTTGATTTTTCAGAATAAAAACTAAGGCCTCGTTCCGATTAACTTATTTTTTATGCTTTTTTTCTTATTCTTATTAAAATCAGATCAGATCAGACCAGATCAGATTAGAACAGACCAGATCAGATCCAAT